CCCCCCAAGAAATGCCAGCCATCTACAGTACCAGTGGCGAAGCCAGGAATTTCTCAAAGCGGCAAAGGGTGTTCAATATATGTTATTTACCTTTAAAACCTAATATTTTAACTATATATACAGTGTAATTTTTTGACGAAGGGTGGTCCTGTAGCTTCGCCCCTGTACAGTACTTGAAAAGGCTCTATCCGGACATACATAGTTCATGTGATTATTTATGCATAGTCAATTCTTGAAATGATTTCACTGTCTTTGGCATTTAAACAGCCACTTATATAAGAAGTTGCAAATAACAATTTGGTCCTGTATAGTGTGGCTTTACTTATATCATATGTAAAACCGAGCTCCATTTCTGATTGCAGGCTCCCATTGATGTTCCTGTTACTTCCGATGATTTTTGGCTGCTTTCCAAAAATCGTGCCTTTTCGCTTCCAAGCCCATTTCATAATAAAGGAAACTATGTCATAAGGTATCTACTTTGAAACATGGAATCAAGTATGCATATTACTCCTTTGTCTCAAATCGCTAGTCTTGGTTTCTCGTTTTTTCCAATTGGTGTTGGGTTCAGTTGGGGATTTTGAACAAATGATTCTTACATAGTATCTTGCATTTTCTCAAAATGTTTCGTAAATATCATCCTAATTTATTGACTCCATATTAATCTTGATGCATGAATGGTATTTAAGGAAATTTTTTAGAGGCATAATTGGAGAAGTGCAGCAGGATATCCAGTGAAAAGTCATAGGAAAAACCAATGGAACTATGAGAGTTAAGAAGATTTTATTGCAAAAAGAAGAGAGAACTTATACAAGGACAGTGGATAAAATAATCCGATTAAAGAAATAAGTACACTGAACAAGATGTGCTTGGTTGAAATAACTGATATTATTTGAGATCATCGGTGTAACTCGTGCATTTTTATAGGTCAACTAGCGGGGAATGAAGAAAAAAGGAACACACACCCAAAAAAAAAAAGTTATGAAGATTAATAAAAGAGGAAAAATATGGAACAAAAACCAAAAGAAGAGCAAAGACGCAGTAGGCCTGGGTGGCTCTGCTAGTCGGTGAAGAAGTTGGATAGTTTGAACTTTTAAGAGTATAGGTGGTTATTAAATTAGCCACAAGCCCTCAATCGACCAACTTTAAGACATTTCTAGTCAAGTTTGAGATATGGAAATGTGTATGGACTGGATTGTGTGCTTTTTGAAAGCTGAAAAGGAGCAAAGTATTCCATGGGTGTGAATTTTGACTTACAAGTTAACTTGTTACCATCTTACACTCCTATGTTGTTTAACTAGCCATGAAGCTTCAACTTATAGAGAATGATTGATGGGCTAAAGCACATTCATATATGCATTGATTTAGTGAGCGAACAATATTTGGAAGGGTAAGGAACTTGTCCAATAGTTAACTCGGTCCATTTTGGCCTTCACTAGCGCTTGATGGGTGTCCTTCTGTATGACATTTTTCATGCGAGCAGTGAAGCGATTTCAGTTGCCCTAGCAAATATGTAAGAGTTAAAGCACTAGATGGGGATCCCCACTTACAGGTTTGTAGTCTATACCCACTCTGATATCATCGTACAGACAGAAATGTGCATGGACAAATGACTTATTTGATGAGTTGTGCGTTTTTGCTGATATAGTTGTGACATTTCCAGACATTAAATCATAACAATCATGGTAATGCAGTTTGAGTCAGTTAGTACGTTGGTTGGGGCAGAAAGCTGAAGAACTAGGAGTTGAAATATACCCTGGTTTTGCTGCTAGTGAGGTGCTAATCTTGTCATTCTGGATTATTTCATTATTTCTGTTTTTTACTTGCTAAGGTAGAAAAGTTTCAGATTTTATTCAACGAACACAATGAAGTTACTGGTATTGCTACTAATGATATGGGAGTGGCTAAAGATGGTTCCAGAAAAGAGAACTACCAGCGTGGTGTTGCATTGAAGGGCAAGTTCTATTACTCAATTTTTTTCTTCTTTTTCTTTTTCTCTCTCCTTTTTTTTTTGTTGCGAAGAAGATTGTCGAAGTTACATTATATCCACAGTTACTGCAGTTATTTTGATGACCAGTGAATGGAATTTAAATCTTCCTTTACTTTGATGTTAAGTGGTTAACTAGTCCCAGTATATATTTTGATGTGCAATTTGTCTCTAGTCCATGGAAAAGTGAGTATAATTATCAAACGTTATTTGTGCACTATAAAGATTCTTGAAAGAAAGTTAATCAAACATCTCAACAGTTAATCAAATGACTCAATACTTCCATGGAAAAACTCCAGCTCAGTTTACGTAGTCTTGAAGCTTCTGGTCAGTATTTGTACGTGTTACGGGAACTCATTAGATACAAATGAAAACTGGAACTCCAGTTTAGTTAGTAACAGTTGGAATATGATGCTGTTCATATGGAGCTTTATGGATCAAAAAGGTTTTCATATGAAGGACAAGCAAAGTAAATGCTTAATGTATGCCTTTAGACCAGGATACCATTTGGCTCATTTCCATACTTCCTAATTTGCTGATGCCCATCTTCTATGATGGTGTGCAGGGCGTGTTACACTCCTAGCAGAAGGATGTAGAGGATCTTTATCAGAGGTATGCAGAAAGTTTATTTTTTTGTCTTTATCATAAATGATTTTTGTGGTTTATACAGCAGTTTAAATTTTAGTACTGAGTTTGTTTACTCTTATGTTTCCTGATAGAAAGTAATCAAGAAGTACAACTTGAGAGAGAAAGGGCAGGGACAACATCAGACCTATGCTTTAGGAATTAAAGAGGTATTTTTCTTTTAATCTTTTTTTCTTTTCTCCTTTATGCTTTTTGATATGTAAGAGGCAGAAATATCTTTTCTCTTGGTAAAGTTGCTGCCATGTGACTAGTAATTCATTGGTTTGAGCCGGTAGAAACAGCCTCTTGCAATAATGCAGGGTAAGGCTACGTATAATAAACCCTTATGGTTCGGCCCTTCTCCGAACCCCGCGCATAGCGGGAGCTTAGTGCACCGGGCGGTCCTTTAAAAATATCTGTTTATTAGATTTGTCAATCTATCCAATTCCTGATTCAGCCTGAAAATCATAAAGCTCATAATAAGATCTGGTCAGTCTCCTGACCACTACAAAAAGAGGGGGGAGGGGGGTATGTAGAAAATGCAACTTCACCAACATGCAAATTTTTAACCAGAGATAAACTTCCCTTTGCAGGCGTTACTTCCCTACTTTTCTTAGACCTGGTATGTATATCGATTATTAGGTGCTTAGAGATAAGTCCCATTTTTTGGACGACAATCTAGAAGAAGGAATTAAGAATACCATACTATTTGTGAGTTGGAAAACACACATTTTGCATCAATTTTGCTTCTGGCAAGTTAACCTATATATTCCTTACTTTTTGTAAATTCATTTTTTTCTTCAATCTCTCTATTCTCTTTTTTCTTGTGAATACTCTTGAACCCAGAAAAGAGACGCCCCACTTGTGGAATTTTCACTAGGTTTGTTGTTATTGTTTGTTTGTTTGCAAGAGACGGAGAATGTTGAGCTTGCTGTGCTTTAGGCTTTCTTGGAGATATTAACTTCCTTTTGATGGATATCATGATTTACACGGAACTTCATACTAAAATCCATTTTCATTAAGTACCTAAGAATGTAGCCTCACGGTCAATGAAGTGGGTGAAAATCATGGGAGACTAGGATGTAAATACCAACAGAGACAAAAAAAAAACTTGTGTCATATTTTCCTATCGGCCTAAGCCTTGGTTGGCAAAGTTACCCGGTACCTGTGCTGGTAAAAGATAACAGGTAATCGATACAACAATCGAGGTGCACAAGTTGGCCCCGAGATAACCGTTATAAGAAAAGGAAAAAAGAAATTCATTCCCATTAACAGTCATGGATAACTTGATATAGAAGGTATCAATACAACTATGTTACTAGTAATTGTTTTCTTCTCATCTTTTAAAAGAAAATTTCCAGTTGCCAGCTCCCTGCATTGATTGGTTTTCGCAGTCTAGTTAGATACTTAGATACTCTCTCTATGCTTGTTCGTTAGGATCTCATAAACTTATAAAGAGGGAGTTATTTCAAATATACATCACGCTGCATCTGAAACTTTAAATGGACTATGAACTTATATCGACTTAGTGAATTCCTGAACTTGTTTCTAGCTCAGGTCTGGGAGATTGATGTAGAAAAACATCAGCCTGGTTCTGTGCTTCACACACTTGGTTGGCCTTTGGACCAGAAGACCTATGGAGGTTCCTTCTTGTACCATATGAAAGACAGACAGGTTGCTGTCGGCTTTGTGGTTGCTCTAAATTATCACAACCCTTTCTTGAATCCTTACGAGGAATATCAGGTAAATATGAGGATGCTATTGTTTATATAGTGTCCCCGTTGGTCCTCGCTCAAAGAACAAGTTATTTAAATTAGTTCAAGTTTCTTTTGCTTTAAGCATCTAGTTACCTACCTTTCATATCCCAAATCTCAGAGGTTTAAACGTCATCCTGCTATAAGACCGCTTCTTGAGGGCGGAATTGTTCTCCAATATGGTGCTCGGTGTTTAAATGAAGGAGGTTATCAGGTGTGTTGGATAATACTTTTTCTTATTACTTTATGGATTTCACATCTTGCTTGTCATAGTTATGGCATCATCCCATCTTCAACAATGGTGTTTCTGATTGTACTCAGAGCTGGTGTATTATGGACTTTGCCATATAATAATGTCCGCATCTATGCTATGGCTGACAAGGATGAGTGATGCTTAGTGTTGCCATCTTTCCTGAACTCAAATGTGTTTAGTAAAATTTTATTAAAGAACTTTGTGATTATCAGTTCAATATGAGAACACATTTGATAAATTGAATCAAATGCATGTAGCTTTCTTCACATATTATTCTGACATACCTGAGACATGTATTTGTAACTTATTCTTAGTCATACAAATACAAATAATTTGGTTAAATTTCAGTCTATTCCATATCCAGTTTTCCCTGGTGGAGCAATTATAGGATGCTCAGCTGGCTTCTTAAATGTACCAAAGATTAAGGGAACTCACACAGCTATGAAATCAGGTATTACCTATGGTTCTTGTACTTAGTTTTAACCTGGCTATTCAGAATTCGGATTAGCTTATTAATTGAAAATTTAAGTTATTCTACTGCAAAATTCACGGTGTTCAGCTCAGCTTCAGTAATTTTAAAATTGCTGCTTGGGAGAATTAATAGTTTAAGCCATTCAGAGTGCAAGATTCAGAGAGGCAGCTAGAGAGGTGTTAGGGGTCTCAAAGGCTTACTCTAGGAGGCACAGAGGAGACTAGTGGTGGAATGGAGAGGTTCAAGTGGAGGGCAAGAAGGCGTCGTATTTGAAGTTGGTAGGGAGCAGAGACGAGGTCGAACAAGGAATTGTACAAGTCAGCTAAGAGGGAAGCGAAGCTAGCAGTCACGACGACAAAGACGGCGTTTGGATGTTTGTATGAAGAGCTTGAGGGAAAAGGCGAAGATAAGAAGCTGCTCAAGCTAGCGAAAGTGAGGAGAGGAAGGCTCGCGACCTGGACCAAGTGAAGTGCATCAAAGATGAGGATGGAAGAGTTTTGGTGGAAGAGGCGCATATTAGACGTTGATGGCAGGTGTATTTCCATAAACTCTTAAATGAGGAGGGGGATAGGAACATTGTGCTTGGTGATCTGGAACACTCGGAGGGTCGGTGTGATTTTGAATATTGTAGACATATTACAGCCGAGGAGGTGGAGGGGGCTATGCGTAAGATGAACAGGGGTAGGGCGACCGACCCTGATGAGATTCGGACGGAGTTTTGGAAGAGAGCGGGCAAGGCAAGCTTGGAATGGCTCACCGGCCTGTTTAATGTTATTTTTAGGACTTCCAAGATGCCCGATAAATGGAGGTGGAGTACGATGATCCCTCTGTACAAGAATAAGGGGATATCCAAAACTGCAACAATTATAGAGGTATCAAATTATTGAGCCACATTATGAAAGCCTGGGAGAGGGTGGTGAAGATGAGGGCGTGACCAAGAGTATCTGAGAACCAGTTTGGTTTTATGGCGAGGCAAGCTACCACAGAAGCCATTCATCTCATAAGGAGGTGGAACAATATAGGAAGAGAAAGAGGGACTTGCATATGGTGTTCGTCAATCTGGAGAAAGCATACTGCAAAGTCACAAGAGTGGTTTTATGGAGGTGTTTGGAGGCAAGAGGTGTCTCTATAGCATACATTAGGGCAATTAAGGATATCTATGATGGAGCTAAGACCAAGGTTAGGGCGTTAAGAGGGGACTCCGGTACTTCCCAGTCATGATGGGTTACACCAGGGAGAGATGTATTGACGCGACACATTCGGGGAGAGATGCCATGGTGCATGTTATTTGCAGATGACATAGTGCTGATTGACGAGATGCGATGCGGGGTGGAGGTTTGAAGACAGACTCTAGAATCTAAAGGGTTCAAGTTGAGCAGGACTAAAACAGAATACATGGAGTGCAAGTTCAGTGGTGTAACTCATGAGGGTGAGGCTTGATCCCCAAACGGAGTAGTTTCACGTACCTTGGGTCAGTAGTCCAATGTGACAGGAAAATTGATGATGATGTCACATACCATATTGTAGTGGATTGATGAAGTTAAGGCTTGCCTCTAGTGTTTTGTGTGATAAGAAGGTGCCACTAAGACTTTAAGGTAAGTTCTACAGGATGGTTGTTAGACCGGCTATGTTGTATGGGGTAGAGCATTGGCTAGTAAAGAACTCCCATGTCCAGAAGTTGAAAGTAGCGGAAATGAGGATGTTGAGATGAGTGTATGGGCATACTAGGAGAGACAAGATCAGGAATGAGAAATGAGATTATTCGGGACAAGGTGGGGTAGCTCCCGTGGAGGACAAGCTGCGGGAAGTAAGACTGAGATGGTATGGGCATGTGAGGAGGAGATGCCCGGAGGGCCCAGTAAGGAGGTGTGAGACGTTGCAAATGGGGTCTAGGGAGGGGTAGAGGGAGGCCTAAGAAATATTGGGGAGAGGTGATTAGACATGATATGGCGCTTCTGCAGTGGTTCATAAGCTGGACATAGAAGAAGCTTATAGTTATGCTTGGCTTATGAAGCTTCTGGAGTTGATGAATTTTGGAGAAAAATGGATCCAGTGGATCCACTTTGTATTTCAACAGGTAGATTCTTTATTTTAATTAATGGAAGTCCAGCAGGTTTCCTTAGTTCTAAGAGGGGATTAAGACAAGGGGATCCACTTTCACCCTACCTTTTTCTACTAATAATGAAAATCCTTAGCTCAATGATAAAGAATTCCACAAGGAAAGGCTGGATTAGAGGCTTTAAAGTTAAAGATGCAAAACACAATTGTGTGGAGACATCTCACATCTTATATGCTGCTCATACTCTTCTGTTGTGCGGGGCTGACAGAACAAATGTTACATTTGAGAGTGGTCTTGCTGGGTTTTGAAGTTGTAATAGGTTTGAGGATCAATTTGGCCAAAAATTCTGTTTTCTCCTTGAATGCGTAAAATGATATTGTATACCATTAGGGGTAAAGTCAAAGATATCTATATGAAAGGAGTTACTAACAAATGCGAAAAAAGCTTGCTCCTGGAAACAACAATACCTTTCTTTTTGGGGAAAGGTTAACTTCAGTAAACAATGTGCTAGCTGGAATTTCAACGTATTCAATGTCCTTGGTACCCATTCCTGCCAGTGAAGAGAAGAAACCTGACAAGATTAGGAGGCAGTTCTTGTGTTGACAAGATTAGGGGCGGTTCTTGTGGGAGGGTAATTCAGAGAGGAAGAGTTTTCATTTGGTTAGATGGATCACAGTGATAAGACATAAGGAAGAGGGGGCTTAGGAGAACGAATTTTAAAAGCCCATAACCAAAGTTTGTTACATCAATGGCTTTGGAGACTCAATGATGGGAAGGAAGCCCCTTGGAAGTCTGGTGGAGATTAAGTATGGAGGAGAGGGTTTCTGGGCTCTCAAGGTTGTGAAGACTTCTTCTGGGGTAGTTGTATGGAGACAGATAGCTAATTTTTTGGGGGAATGGAGCATGTCAACATTGTGGTTTGAAATGGGCAAAAAAGTTAGGTTGTGGAAAGACAACTAGAACAGTTTGGGATTGTTAAAGAAGCAGTTTCCTCGTCTTTACTGTATGACAAATAACATTGATGTTGTAGTAGTTGATGTCTTTAATAAAACTTGGTGGGATTTCACAAGTTTAGAAGAAACTTTTTTAATGGGAAAATGCAGGAAATGGACGTATTTTTGCAAACAATGTATTGTGGAGATTATTCAGGGAAAGAAGATGCATTAAGTTGGCATATGAATGGGGTGTTCACTGTGAACTCTTACTACAGAGAACTCACTAAATCTGCTGATAAGCTGGGATCTAATTGGCCCTGGAAGCAGATTTGGAAGATATTTGCGCCAACTAAAGTGGCCTGCTTTGGTTGGATGGTGGTTCACGAGGCATGTTTGACTGAAGGAAATCTGAGAAGAAGAGGCTTTAATATTTGTATCAGATGCTATCTATGTGAGAACTCCTGCGAATCTGTTGATCACGTCTTTCTGCATTGCCATTATAATATACCTGGCAGTTTTCGGGAGGTTGTTTTTTTTCTTCTTTCCAGAAGGTTGTTAGGGTGTTGGAAGTCGATATATGCAGGGAAGTTAATAGTAGCCAAGAATAGAGAATTGAAAAAACAGAAAAAAGAAGGTAATTTTATTGGCAATAGTTCGTGCAAGAATCTTACACATAATTACACCAATAAAGTTGTCTGTATGGAGAGGACAAGACTCCAGAATACATGAGTTTCAATTCTGAAAAATATATACCCAAATAACTCAGTCCTAATTACATATTTATAGAGCACATCATAGGATAAGATCAGACAACTAAAAACTAGGAATGGACTAAAATGCGAGACTAAAATGCGATAGCAGTTCCATGAAGTGGTTGACAGTTTTGCCAGATGAGCACTTCAAGAAGTGCTGCAGTTGTATTTCACCAAGACTCTTCAATTCTTTATCCTTTTATTGATACTTTCTTCTGAAATATGTCTTGAGAGGTGGGTCCGTATCAGAAGCACAAGAAAAAGATATGGTTTACCATTCCATTGTGCATTGTATGGACAATCTGGGCAGAGAGAAATAGGAGATGTTTTGATGGAAAAAAGGAGCAACTTCAAGTAGTGAAATGTAGATGCATTCAAAATTTTTATTACTGGAAGAATGGGAACTGTGTTTTTAATTTTTAGGATTTGCTAGACTTGTTAGATTTTATAGAGATTTGATGCACCAAGTCCAACTCTGTTGTATTTGCTGAAACTCTTACTTTATAAAGAAAAGGACCCACACATTTTCAACTTCAACTTTGAAGGTATTAACTCAAAAGTTTAAATAATGGAGGCAATCTGATTTTCTACAAATTGTATACAAAGTTGGCTATACCGGGTACGGAAGGAAGAAATGGACTAAATGATGATATTGTACTCCCTCTGTTTAAAAAGAATGGACCTATTTGAATGAGCATGGAGTTTAAGAAAGAATAGAAGACTTTTGAAACTTATGATCTAAAATAATCATAGATATTTATGTGGCCATAAACCTTCTCATTAAGAGTAAAAAGAGAAGTTTAAAGTTACATTGTTTCCAAATTTAAAAAGAGGCCCTTCTTTTAGAAACGGACTAAAAAGGGGAATAAGTTTATTCTTTTTTAAATGGAGGGAGTAGTCCTTATGGGTAGTGAAACGTCTGAATTGATACAACAATAACAACTACGTCTCAATTTTAAACTAGTTCAAAGAACGCCCGACTTGGTGATTTACTTTAACTTATTGACTATGAACAAGCTCTTCTTTTGAATGGTGTACCCAGTTTTGTTGGAGGGGGTTTCATATTCTTCTTAGAGAATAATTTCCACTCTTTCTCTCTCTCCTCTTTTTCTCTCCCCATTTTTGTTTCATTTTTTTCTACTAATCCAGGACTATGCAAACTTGAAAACTTACAAGTGTCATGGTTTGTAAAAAATGAAATTAAGAATTTGGGCCCTACATTTCCCTTATTGGAGTGCTATCGTTAATTTTTTTATCCTAATGTGCCGAGGGTCTATCGGAAACAGCCTCTCTACTCCTCCTGAGTAGGGGTAAGGTCTGCGTACACACTACCCTCCCCAGACCGCACTAGTGGGATTATACTGGATT